CTTTAATAAAACTCCCCATATGCTTTAGTTGGCCTTTTCAAAGCATATGATTAGATTTTGCCCGACAAGTGATGAAAGTTTCCACATCTCAGTTCCCGTCACGTATTATCAGTGTTCATCAGTGAAAGAGATGAATCAAAGGAAGATTCATTCGTCAAGTGAAAGCAACTTGGAAAGTGCAAGCTAAGTGTTGTGTCATCAAGCTGAGGGCCACACAACTTTTAACTGATGTGGTAAAAAAAAGAGACCTTCAAGCAAAGAGCAGCAATGACTGGGTTGATCAGGATGATGAATGTCTGAGTGTCAGCTCCTGCAAAAAGGAAACAAAATGTTCTGGAACACCTCCGACTTTATTTTTATGAACTGCAGAGACCTTTGATGTATGGCACGTCATCAAGCTGACAAGAAAAGGATTGTGCTGATGGTACAAATGGCAAGCTTTCCTCAACAAAGAAAAAAATCACTTGATATTTCAAGAATGCCAGCTTAAAAGAAAGGAAACTTTTTGCTGTGATTTGTGCCGTACTGTTTGCACACTTTAGTTTACTGAATCCATTGCTGTTGAAAACAAAAATAAAGTACTTGCTAACTTTGCTCTGTGTGATGATTTTTTACTGGGGGTGGGTGGCATTTAGTTTTCTGATTGTCGTTTTGACTTAGTTAAAGAAATTGATGGACCCTATCTTAAAATTCAATGACTGATTTTTCTGTTGGATGTTATGCTGAAAAGGTTTCTCATTATTTTTTCTGATGACTGCATCATTTTTGGTGCGCTTGGTCAACATGTCTCCTTGAGTAAAGCACTGGTCTGTGAACTGTCAAAAACATTTAAACGCTTCTGCTTATATTTTGGAAATAAAGTTGCATTTAAAGATGTTTTTGTTTAGTTTTTTTCCCTTTTGAAAGGATATGTCCTCTTGCTGATTTTCCTGGATGAAAATGAGCCTGACAAATAAATCTTGAGGCCTATTTTCATCTAAATCCTTAGATACCAATGTTTGTAAACACTATATACATATACATATATATATATATACATATACAACTATATACATATACAACTATATACATATACATATA